CATGAATATTAAAGCAGGGATTTATTTCAGGAAATGTTAAAACATCAGAAATACTCATTTATTTTAAATTATTTATTTTAAATGTTTGTCACTTTTGCAGAACCCAGAACCAGGAGCTGGAACCGGTGAGGAACGGCTGCAAAGCAAAGGTGGAGGAAGTGGAGAAGAACATTTCCACTGCTGAGGTACCAGAACCAGAATCTGAAGCATTTGGCTGCATTGGGTTCAAACCGGGCCGGCCTCATTTCCTGTTTCTCTGCAGCGCCGCTATCAGGACGTTCTGGACCAGCTGAGTGGCCGCCGGTCGGAGACGGTGCGGCCGCTCCAATCGGACCGGTTCTGCAGGTTCTTACTGAGTCATCACAACAATTCAGCTGCAGAGAGTCGGCAGTTTGACTCCAATTGTTTTAAGAGCTTCAAATCAAAAAGTTTTGAATGTTTTCTGCTTTTGATCAGTGAAGCTTTTCACCTCAGATAAATTTATGTTTTATGTTAATTTTATGAATGCAGTGATGAAACGTTACATTCTGTAGATCTATAGAGATACATCGACTGAGTTTGAGACGATGAAGCTCGACGTCACCCAGTGCAGATGGAGGCAGGAAGTAAATGTATTTATTTCTGCTGAACAGCATCAAAATGTCTCAAGTCTGAGTCCTGTACGGTTGTTCCTCAACGCAGAGGAAGATAAACCTTATTTTTGTGTTTGGAAGGTAGTCGGTGACAAGGGAGTTGATTTTAAAACTTAGAGAAAAAAGAGGAGAAAAGTGGATGAACAACCTGCAGCTAAAACCAGGAGGAGTGAAAAACTAACAAGGCCAGAGTTTGCAGCCACTTTCTAACAGGCAGCGAGCGCTCCGTCCTTTAAATTGCATTTCAGACATTTTACTGACAGTTACTTAGAAAGACGAGCATTCATATGTAAGGTCAGATATTATTTCTGCCGTGGCTTGGTTGTCCTCAGAGCGCTAACGCTGTTAGCCGCTAGCTCAGTGCCGAGTCCCAGACAGAAACTAGAATGTTCATTCATGGTAAAGAAGCTAAATAAATGAAACGTAAGCTACCCAGCCACACAGACTTTGACTGTTCCCCACACGGTTCATGTCTGGGTTTCTGCAGATGGGAGCCAACAGTCGACCCACATTGGACCTGAATCCTACAACGACTCAACACCAACGTACAACTCCTGCATGAAGCGGGTTTACAGAAGCTAAATAAATGATTTAGCAGGAGATCCAGGCTCATAGACATAACATGGGTTAGCTTGTTGTTAGCAGTAGCATGGTTATCATAGACTGATGACTTAAAATAGCACAGTTCCTTAGTGACCAGGCAGAAACCAGTGGACGGCCATTTAATGCTTCTTTTGATCCTAAATTTGAGCCAACCTGAAGCTAAATGACTTTATTCTCCAGGCTTTTGGAAACGTTCTTCTGGCTCCTGGTGCAATATGAGGCCTGCAGCTCCAGGTGGTTCGTTATGTGGATCGCCTCCATGCGGGAAATCCTCCAGGTTATAGCAGAAGTCTTTCTACCGAGATAATACGGATCCTATCCTAAATATCCGCGTATGTTTTTAGATGCCTCGTCTGTTTCAGCCTATTTCGGGCGTTAGCTTCTCACTGTGGTCCATTTTGCTCTGATTTGAACCGCAGACATCCACTTCCTGACCTCCGTCTGAATTTGAACGTCATCCGGGTCACGTGTCTCAAACCCAGGAGTTGACCTACATAGATCTATAGATCAGGAAACCTTCCTGGAACATTTCCCTCCTGTTTGAGTCTAGTCAAAGTTTATTTATGAAGCACATTTCCAGCAACCTCATATGAGGCCTAGTGTTGAACACATCGCTTCACCACAAACACAACACAGATAAATTAATGATTCAGAAGCCAGAGGGAGACGATCCACCCTCTGGGGGTTAGGGGTCAGGGTCAGGGTCGGGGCTTCAGGCCAGCCGACCTCAGAGCTGCTAGAGCTCACTTCAGCACCAGGGACCCAAAAACACTTTAAACCATCAATAAGACCTTAAATGGATCCTGATGCAGCAGGGAGTCGGTGAAGGGGTCGTAGAACCAGGGTCACAGATTGCTGCAGCATCATGGAGCTGCAGCATCTTGTTTGCGCTGCTGCAACGCTGCGTACAAAGAGTCAGGATAATCTAAACGTGACGAACGACGGGATCAAACTCAGGCAGAGGAAGATGAGGTCTGACCTTAGCAAGGATCTGAAAGGATGTAGCTTTGATAGCAGCGCTAACATGCTAATCACATTTACAGCCAGACTTTCACAAACGGCAGGAGGACCGACCGCACCGTCACGTCCAGGAGAGGACGGCGCCGGCCACACATACGGCTTCAGGTTTTCCCTATTTGGGTCCAGGAATGTCTGAACATCCTGAAGTGGGTCCTGTACCGTCGGCAGACTGGCTGCGACAGCAGAGGATCTGAACCCATCAGTGAGAGACTTTGTGCTCGGTGAAGATTCGACCCAAAGGCAGCAGAGACAAGGCGCCAACATGGACCCGAGGAACCCGAACTCCAGAGGACCGACCCTGTCCCACATCTAGAGAAAGTCCTGTTGGAAAGAACCGGAACCTCCAACAGCAACCAGAAGATCCTGTGATCCACAGCAGACGGATCCACAGACCTGCTGATTCAGCAGAGGTCGTACCCGGCCGACCCCTGACCCGGCCGACCCCTGACCCGGCCGACCCCTGACCCGGCCGGCCCCTGACCCGGCCGGCCCCTGACCCGGCCGGCCCCTGACCCGGCCGGCCCGGATACTCGGTAGCCGGCCGTTACCTAGCAACCGCAGCTGATCTACAGCAGACCAAACACCAGAGATCAGTTGGCGTTGCTAGGCAACGGGCTGGCTTGTTGCTAGGTAACAGCTTAGTGTTTGTTTTTTTAACCGCTTGTTTTCCAGACATCAAAAATGTTGAACTTCTTGCTGAGTTTTTGTTTCTCCAATCAGTCGAGACTCAAAAAGTGACGTTTGCTCCGTCGATTCCTCCCAGGGTCACCGTAAGGTCAACTTCTGTTTCTGTTGCAGATTCCTGCCGCAGCCAACGATCCGCCGCCTCAACCAGCCGCCGCCGAGCCCGCCGCCCCGCCCGCCGCGCCGCCCCGAGCCGCCGCCAGGAAGGAGCCGCTGCTCGTCTCGGTTTTCCAGAAGGCCATGGACAGCCTGACCGCCATGTTTCCAGACTATTCCAGGTAGAGCCGAGCAGGTAGAAACGGCTCAGCCGCTGATCTATGGATGACCCGGATCTGACCCGGTTCTGGTTGATCTGCAGGTCCGACTTGATGCGTTTCGTTCAGGACTTCCGTCTGGCCAGAGGGGGAAGTCTGAACCTGGTGCCGCTACAGGAAGTGGTCAGCGGCGTGGCGCAGCTCATCCTGGACCATCAGGTCTGGGTTCGTAGAGCCGCGCTCTGATTGGCTTAGAGCCGCGCTCTGATTGGCTTAGAGCCGCGCTCTGATTGGCTTAGAGCCGCGCTCTGATTGGCTTAGAGCCGCTCTGATTGGCTTAGCGTCGCGGCTTTCAGCCATTCACCGCTTTCCTCCTGTTCCTCAGGAAACGCTGAAGTCATCCGCCGCCGTGGGCCGGTCCAGCCCGGCTCAGGGGAACCAGAACCCGGTGTGGCAGCTGGTCGGAGCGCAGAGAGTCCGAAACCCGAACGCCGTGAGTCCGACTCAGCCGCCAAGCAAAAGAGACGCTTGATTTGACTGGACATTTGGTTTCAGCTCCACCTTATTATTTCTTATTGGCCACTTTTAAAACTGGAAACTTGTTTTTGTTCACTTTCGTTTTTTCTATTCTTTATTTCCATATTTATATTTAGCTCATTTTGTTGCAGCTGTTTTAAGGTGCTTTATAAATAAAAGTATGAAGTTCCCAAAAGGGGAAAAATTTTGTTTAAAACATTAGAAACTAAATATTCATGAATCATTTAAAGTAATATAATTATGGCTTGAAAGAGGTATATTGATCCAATTTAACTGATTAGTAGATTAATAATAATTTGCAGCTAATTTGCATCCAATTTGAAATGTCAAACTGGATGCAAAGTATTTCAGTTTTCGGGTGGAATCGCCCTTTAGTCAATCATAAACCAACTTCAGATGAAGTGACTGAAAACTGTAAAACATGAAGATAAAAACGGTTGATTTAAGGCTGCAGTGAATTAAAGTGGAGAAAAGTTTCACTTTTTATTCTCAATCTTTGAATTTCATAAAACGACGTTCAAAACAAATGTTAAGTTTTTTAAAATCAGGATGTCATGGTAAGATGGTCGTTTCGATTCAAGAGAAAAGTCAGGTTTTTAGGAAAATGGCCGCTTATCAATTAACTAACAATCAATGATGAATCGACCAGCTCGTCAATAACCTGTGTCTTCCTGCAGCTGAACATGGAGGATCCCTGCATCATCTGCCATGAGGACATGAGTCCAGAGGACGCCTGCGTGCTGGAGTGTCGGCACAGCTACCACGACCAGGTGAGACCCGACGGGCCCAACGGGCCTCCAGGCTCCCTGCGGTTCTGACCCGGTTCTGTCTGTCCAGTGCATCCGGTCCTGGCTGAAGGAGAAGAACACCTGTCCCACCTGCAGGACTCACGCGCTGCTGCCTGACGACTTCCCCGCTCTGTCCACCAGGAGGCGCCAGGCCCCCTGATGCTCCGTTTCTGCTTTTATCCCATTTTTAATTTTATTTTTAAAATTTCGTTCTTTAAATTATTTGTTTTCCTAATTTTATTTACATTTAAAACTTGAGAAAATAAAGAATTTGGTGTTGGAGCTCGTCTGACTCTAATACTTTAAAAATGTTTATCAATAATTCTGTTTACTAATCATTCAATATTAAACATTATGTCACTCGATCAACTAAAATATAAAGTTATTCAGGACCAAAATGAAAATCATTTACAAAATAAAATAAATTTATGGAAAGTTTTTTCACTGATAATTTAAGCAAACAGTAAATAAACTCACTGGAATCTCCTGAAACATGTAATTTATTTTCCATTTTATAGCTCAGATAAATTCTGCTCATCAAACATGATTAATAGAAACAAAGTTAGGAGAAATGAGGTGGAATCAATAAATCTGAGCATAAATTCATCAAAGTTTGAGAACAAGCAGAAAAATTATGGACTGCATTCTGATTTTAGTTCAAATATTAATGTTTGAATTTCACCTCAAATATGTTCAGTGAGCAAATCTATGCAGTTCAGACTGTATTTGATGGATCACTGATCGATGGATCACTGATCGATGGATCACTGATCGATGGATCACTGATCGATGGATCACTGATCGATGGATCACTGATCGATGGATCACTGATCGATGGATCACTGATCGATGGATCAGACTCTGCAGAGCTTCAGAGGGAAGTTCTCGGTGATCAGGTGATCGTCCTGCAGGATGACGACGACGTTGATTTCAAACTCTGAGAAAAAAACAACTCGTTAGTTCCTGATAAACCGGAGCTGAAATGATTGATTATAGAAATGATCAACTAATTTAGTAATTGATTGGTGTAAAGGTTAAATAAAGGCAGAAAGATTTCTGGAAGAAAAACGACAAGACATAAATTCTACACAGATTAAATATATAAATGTCTGACCAAAAACTGAAGTGGAATTGTTTCAAATCGTTTCACCTGCTTCAACTTCTGTGAAGATCTATTAGTCATTTTGTTATTGATCTGTTAATCAATAATAATTCAGTCCAGCAGAAAGGCTGAAGCGTTTCTCCTCTTTAACTGATCGATCAATCAATGATGCAAAAGAATCACCAGATGCAGCTGAAAAGTGAAGGGGGAGCGCTCTGATTGGCCGGCTGCTCTGATTGGCAGGTTGCTTTGAATGGCCGGCTGCTCTGATTGGCCGATTGCTCTGATTGGCCGGCTGCTCTGATTGGCCGGTTGCTCTGATTGGCCGGTTGCTTTTAATAGCCGGCTGCTCTGATTGGCCGGCTGCTCTGATTGGCCGGTTGCTCTGATTGGCCGGCTGCTCTGATTGGCCGGTTGCTTTGAATAGCCAGCTGCTCTGATTGGCTGGCTGCTCTGATTGGCCGGTTGCTCTGAATGGCCGGCTGCTCTGATTGGCCGGTTGTACTGACCTACTTTGAAGTTGGTGGTCTCCAGGGTGGGGCAGGTGAAGAGTCGGGGGAACACCATGTGGACGGGGATGGGCAGGCCGTGGCCGACGTCTCCTTCTGCGATCTGGATGTTCTGGATCTCCGTGGCGTCTCGCGCGTAGCCCTCGGCGCAGCCTGTAGGTAAAACAGGAAACCTCCAGGGGGCGCCGACGCCAGGCGGGCGTTCAGGGAGAGTGTAACTCACCGCAGGTCTCCACCCGGACCAGCTGTAGCTCGATGCTCTTGACGGGGACGTCGGATTTGTCCACCTGCACCTCCCCGGTGAGCGGTTGGCTGATGACGCAGCTGGTGGCGTCCAGATGTCCTCGGATCAGGAAGCGCGGCAGCTGACTCCTCTGCCGACACAAACGATCGGTGAAACGGGCCTGCAGACGTTTCCAGAACCGCTGACCCTAGTTCCCTTTTTTTACACACAAGTTCAAATTCCCTAAAAATCTCCAATGAATTCTATCAAATTATTAATCAGTTCGTCAATAATTAATCCCAGATCAGCTCTGCATCGACATTCAGCTTTTCTGATGGTGATGATTTTAGCATTTTTAGCTGCAAATGATGAAACCTTCAGTAAAGGAATAAAAGATTAATCAACAGATTGATCGATCGGCTGGCTGTAATGTGATAGCAGCAGGTCAAAGGTCGCACCTCGCGGACGTTCTGCAGCGTCTCTGGAGTGATGCTGAACTTGACTGGAGTCGGAACGATTTTTGATTTCTGAGGCTGAAATAAAAAACCAATCAAAATGTAATAATCAATAAGATAATGAGCGTCTAATCGAAGCTTTGCTGACGATCACCTGACTGTGAACGATGAACTCGCAGCTCCTGCTCAGGTCTTTGGCCAGCAGGGGGCGCTTCAGGTCGCAGCGCAGCGTATACTGAGCAGCAAAGAGGCAAACGTCAGAAAGTTGGAACACAAACTGCTGAGCCTGAATCTGTTTCAGACTCTGGTTAGCGATCAATTGGAGATCGTTAGCAGACAGGCTAACGTGGAGCCCAACCTGGATGTTGACGAAGACGCCGTGGTAAGTCTCGTACAGAACTTTGTTGCCTTTGCTGACGAGCGGAAACTCAAACGGGATTCCGTTTTCCCTCCTGGGATTTTCCCGGCCTTGGCCACCTCGATGCTGCTGCTGATCAGCGGGATTGGCTGCAGATTAACCGGCAGACAGAAATTATTTTCTAAGTTTAGATCTGAATTAGATCTGAATGAATGCTTCATTTATCAAGCTACCAATGAGATTGATCGATTTTCGAAATAATCGGCAACTGATTTTGTTAACTGGAGAATAAAAAGGCCATTTGCTGAAAGAACAAAAACTAAAAACATTTTGCACTTAAGATGAGAAAAACTCTTTCCGTAAAAACATTCAACCAAAAGCTTCAGGTTGGTTTTAGCTTCACCAGATTATTCAAAGGAACATCAGCACATGTGCCTCGTTTTCTATCCGACTAATCAATTAATCATCATGATTAACAATAGTTACAATAATTCTTATCTACAGCCTTTCATCTTTAAAGCTTCTCAGTCTCTCAGACTTTTTGAACTCCAGAGGAGCAGAGTGCTCCAGAGTCCGGTCCGGTCGGGTTCGGTCCGGTCGGTCCGGTCCAGTTGGGTCCGGTCCGGTCCGGTCGGCGGATCCCACCTTGACCGAGTTGTAAAACGCCTCAAAGACGCCGACGCTCTTGGAGCTGAGCTGCAGGTTGACGATGCCGTCCATGCTGAGCGCGATGCCGTTGTGCTGCAGCGGCTCCTTGCAGCACAACGTGACGACACCAGCCACAGTTTCCTGAAACAGACCGGAATCAGCTGCTGCTGTAGAATCAGGATTATTATTAATCGATTATTAGAATAAACTAATTCAGTAATTGATTAATCAACTGGAGACGAGACTCAATAAAAGCCATTTACAGAAATGAATGCAAAACTATAAAAAAAATTTAATTTATTGCAATAAAATTCTTATGATAAAGATTTAGATTTATTGTTCTCAAAATAATTTCAATGTTTAAAATCTAAAAGTGATAGTTGTTAAAATGTCAACAAGTATCAGGGTAGTTGGAATTGATAGTTTTGCCATTTGCTCCACTTTTTGTTCAATAGATGATCAATGAATACCAATAAATTTGAAAACAGATTAATGACAGAGATCACATTTTTTATGACTGGCGTCTGAAAGATTCAAAACGGAAACGTTTTTTAAAAGCAGGACTTGTTTTGTGAGCTGCTGCCATATAGCTACATAAAGAAATAATAAATTGTTCGTATCACTTTTATCGATTACCATCATTTATTTAGATAAAAGTTTAGTTTTAAGAAACATTTTGAACAGATAAGTTCACACCAAGCTCTACCTAACCCGCTGAGGTTAAGCTAAGCTACCCACATCAGGTTTCTATGGCCCTCAAAACAAAACGAAAGCATAAAATTATATTTTTATTCATGTTGTCTTGAAGATTTTAAATTATATTGATTATTTATTATCACGCAAAGAAATAATAATCGAGCACAGAATTTAATTTGGTGACCAAATTCGTCACACCATGGAAGCAGCTGCTGGTCACGTGACTGCGAATTAGCTTGTTGCGAATTAGCAAGCTAAACTGTCTATGCTAGCTAGTCCACATAGCTTATCAATGGTTTTGTAGAGCAAACAGAGGAAGGCTAACGTTAGCGGGGCGGGTTCGGGTCTCTTACCCCTCATGATAGACTTTGTTGGCTCTTTTCAGTTTGATATCCAGACTGACGCTCATCTCCGAGCCGCAGGCCGCGAAATGGCGGCTGGCGTCATAAGCTGCTTTTACAAGATTTACATTTATTTGCTTTGCTTCTGAATGACAAATCCACAGGAACAGAAACAACTCAGTATCCGGGTAAATCTTTCAAAATAAGAGTGCGACATTCGCCGATTTGAACGACTCTGGTCAAAATTTCAAAATAAAAGCATAAGTAATAATGGGTTGAAACTAACACAAACTATTGTTAAAATAATGACTTTAAAATAAGTTTGAAATAGCGTTTTTGTTTGTTTTAAACATTGTCTTTGGTTTTTTTTAAACATGTCAGAGAAACATTAACGTTAGTTCATCAAATATTCCTGCAGATAAATAATAGCGGCTCCAGCAGATGTTTACAATTCTTTTATGACATGCTGTTATTTTTATTCAATTCAATTTTAATTATTTGTAATATTTTAACATGTTTCTGTTGAAATAAAGTGTTGGGTTTCACCTGAAATAAACACGTTAAACTGAATCATAAAGTTCTTGTCAACATCAACATTTGCAGACAAAATGCATCAGGATGAGAAAGGATAAGTGACGAAATGAAGTTAATGATAAAGCTGAGGATCCAAGGGCGGTCACCCAGTAAACGTCACTTCCTCTGCCCTGAAACATGTTTAATTCTCTTAAACAAACTTTACTGCTACTGTTTCTGCTGGGAAACAGAATCCTTCATTTTTACACCAAAGCTTTGCTGCACATTTGTTTGTAGCTTCACTTTTTAACACTTAATTAAAGTGTTTGTTTAATCAGTGAACCGTCCATTTCTCCACCAAAAGAATCCCGCATTGGACTTTGTTTAGACCACAGGCATTTTGTCATTCAGCCCTGCTGCTGCTTGTTTCCAGTAATCATTCACTTTGTTGCAAAAAGAAAAAAACTCTTTTTCCAAATATTTCATGCTCAGAAAACCTTCAGCTGACCGTTTTCCATCTCGTCTCGTTGCAACAAACTTTGGTGTTTTTTAGGTCATTTGACACATTTATCTACAATTTCCTTCCTTTGGAGACCAAACTGGATGAACACCGAGGGTCATTTTAATTGATCAGGCTCAAGCATGACATTATTCATCGATTATTAAAAAATATCATCAACTAATTTAGTAATCAATTAACCTTCAACTGGAGTATAAACTCAAAAGGCCACCTGCTGAAGAATAACAGTCAGAACCGTAATTAAATCAAAACTGTCTTTTTAAGATAAAGACATTTGTCTGCAAGCACATTTTACCAGAACTCATTAGAAACCTCTAATTAATCACCTTTTGCTCTCAATTATTAATCAGTTAATGAAAAAAATGAACCAATTAATCTACAACAAATCAAGCGTACACAAAAAAATTTTAATTTCATTCTTTGATAATAACATTTTCATTTTGTTATTTAAAAAATAATTAAATTATTTGTTTATTCACATCTTTTCATGTATTTCTAATATTGTTTGAAAAAGACTGAAAGTGTATAAAAAGTGAATGTCAAATCTTTATGTAAATTGTCGCCTGAATAATCAATGGTGTTATTATTTAAGAAATTAACGGTCAGTTTCAACCCTGATCAGGTTTATGCAGGTCGACTGAATCGTATTTTCAGGGTATCAGAGTAACGGGGGTTGGATACACACATAAACCACATTTTCTGATTTTCTTAGTGAAAATTTCCTCCCGTTTGCTAAAGTTACACCAGGTTAGAAAGAAACAAATCGATGCTCTAAATCTGATCAAATTTACTTTTTACCACAAGTTTGAACTTTTACTGAGGCGTCCAAGATAACACATCAACAACAAAATATTTGATTTACTAATACCAGTCCTGATTAAATAAATGACCAACTACCATCTCCAGGTGTCAAAATGAATTTGAGCTCGTACTTATTGAAATTTTGAGAATTTATCAGATAATTCACGTCATGCGTTCCTCCAGTAGTTTGACCTTTTGTCTGTCACAAAGTTCATCGTGTCCTTCAGACGCTCTGAAAGCCGGAAATCTGGGCTTGTATGAAGCAACAACAACCGTAAAAGAAGGAAACAAACGTCAGGCGCTCACCTTGTTGCTGCTACCTGTGGACAGGGGAGGGGAGGGAAACAAAGCCGGCCCCCGATCACAGATTACGCTCGGCTTTGTCTCGCTCCGTTCCTCATTGTGCCAAAGTTGAGATCTCACAACAAACAGAGAAAGAAGACACTGAACTTCAGGCTCAGTTTCACATTTCTGAGGACGAGCTTTTCAGAGGTGAGTAAACGGACTGATGAGGAAATGAATGATTATCAATTCACATTAATAATGCTTCATGGTTAATACTTTATCTACTCCTGAGGAATGTGTCTAAACGTTTCCATGTGATAACTCATTTTACTTCTAATAATTCTGTGGAATAATATTCAGTTTGGTGACACTGACAAACTTGGAACAAGATAAAGAATTGGTATTTATATAGAAGTACTAAAAAGTACTTCTGTCTTTCAGGCCATCAAACAAAATTTAATATCAGACAAACATAAAGTGGAAAAAAGACAAAAAATATTGTTTTCAAATTATGGCTTCAATTATTGAGGAGAACACTGCAAAAACACAAAATCTTACCAAGTATTTTTCTCTAGTTTTGAGTGCAAATATCTTTGTTCACTTGAAATAAGACAAAACAAACTTACAGGAAGAGAAGGGAGCTTATTTAAATCAGTCATGTCTTAATTTTAATGGAAAAGGTTCCAGTTCCACTGGCAGATTATTTCACTTAAAACCTGGGAAAAATGTCATGTTATTAATAAATTATTTACCAGTTTAATTAGAACTTTTGATCAATATTAAGAATTACTGGTAAAAACAAGTTCCTTCCTGTTAGTCATGAGTTACTTCAGTCTCATTTCAATTGAACTTGAACTAGACCAAAAATGTTTGTTAATATTTTGTGTTTCTACAGTGAAAATCTTCCAAACCAAGTGAGAAAATAACGGAGCAGTCAGAGTCTGTAACGTCACTGAGGAGAAATTTTGAATCGTTCATTTGCAGAATTGCTTTTTTCCGTGACAGCGCAGGGTCTTTAAGCCACAACATCTCCATCATAACTCATTACTTTGACTAGGAAACTCCATAACCTTCATTCTGTTGTATTTTTAGTTGGATTTGTGCTTTTAATGATTGTTCTGCTGCGTAACTTAAGTTTACTTTAAGATAAATCCAACTTAATTTAGAAAATGAAAGAAAGCACAATTTATGTTTCAAGCACGATGGTGGAGGAATAATGATCTGGGTTTGTTTTGACTGTGGCACTCTGATGAAACATGCAGCGTTTATTTAATCTGCAGCAGTTTTATGTATTTTCTGACTGACCTTCAGTGAACCAATTCTGTTTATGACTCACCAATAACTCACTTATTGGTCTCTAATGTCGTTTGTTAATTTTTAACTCTGTGGACCTCAGATGAAAACTATTCAAGGCGACAAGCTGCTTAATATTTTAGTGTAAAGTCGTTTTTTACTTGGTACATAAGTGCATGGAAGAGTTTCTGAATCCCATCCAGGGCCTTTCTGACTGCATTAGCTTAGCTTCAGGCTAACAGTGCTCATGTTAGGCTAACTTTAAGTCAGGCTCAGTGATGGACGGATGTTTTCTACCATTAAACCCTGTGGATTAAACAGCTGTACATAGTTTGGTGACTTCACTTTCTTTAGTTGTTGGATTGTTCTTTAATCCCGTACATCACAATACAAACATTTAAAAATCACTCCAAATATCTTTCATGCATTCTGATCTGGTCCTAGTCAATAATTGTCAAGGTTTCCTGAGGGTTTGCCTTGAAAACTGATTTAGCTCAGCACTCACTGAACAGTCCATAGCCTGGAGACAGAAAAATCTTTCAGTACCTGCAAAAAGTCACCATTCATTTAAAGAAGACTTTCAAAGATTAGAAGAGAATCTGGATCTCTGGAAGCAAAAGATACAGAAATGATTGACTGAAGACTTTGGCAATCACAGAAAAACAGCTTTATGAGAATATTAATCGTATTTCTGTTTGTGTCTGTTGCCAGCTCTTTAATCTGGAATGTGCCAATAAAACCTCTTCAGTTACAGCCAGTACTTGTTGAAGCAAAGCATCATGGTCAACAGGAAGTCAGAGGTTCAGCGAAGGATCGTGTCCAAAGACGGTCAAAACAATGTTCAGATCGACAACGTGGAAGGAATGGTCAAGCTCTACCTGCACGACATCTGGACGACGGTGGTGGACATGAAGTGGCGCTACAAACTCACTCTGTTTGCCTCCACCTTCGTCGCGACCTGGTTCATTTTTGGAGTCTTCTATTTCTTCATCGGCATGGGGAACGGAGATTTTGACACTCTGCCCAATTCTACCCACACCCCTTGCGTGATGCATGTGAGTACTCTCACCGGAGCCTTCCTGTTCTCTCTGGAGTCGCAGACCACCATAGGTTACGGTTCCGGTATATCTCTGAAGAGTGTCCTCTGGCGATCTTCACGCTGGTGGCTCAACTCGTCATCACTGGTCTGGCTGAGATCTTTGTCACCGGTGCCTTTCTGGCCAAACTGGCCCGACCCAAGAAGCGAGCAGAACGATAAAGTTCAGCCAGGTGGCGGTGATCTGCAGGCACCAAGGCAAGCTGTGTCTGATGGTGAGAGTGGCCAACATGAGGAAGAGTCTGCGATCCAGTGCCAGCTCACGGGAAAGCCTGTTTAAGTCCAATGTGACAGAAGAAGGAGAGAAGACGCAGATCCACCAGAGCTCCGTAGATTTCTACATGGACACCAGTGGAGACTGTCGTTCCTGATCCTCCCGCGACCTTTTATCACATTATTGACGAGAAGAGCCCATTGGCAGGACTGACCCCAGAAACCCTGAGCAACCGAAACTTTGAGCTGCTCATAACGCTCAACGGCACCATGGAGTCGACGGCGGCCACGTGCCAGAGCCGCACCTCGTACATCCCTCAGGAGATCCTGTGGGGCTACGAGTTCACGCCGGTGCTCTTCAGCTCCTCCAACTGCCGCTACGTTGTTGATTTCAACTATTTTGACAAAATACAAGTGAGCAACGACCCCGCCTTCCCTGGCGGCAGCACAGGAAAGATATAA